CTGATTTTCAGAGTTGCGGAGCAAGCTATTACTTTTAAATGTAACCCATTTATCACTTATTCTCTCCTCCACTCCCCACGTTTTCTTTACAGACGGAATTGTTAGGAGTGCTATTCCCCAAAAGCGATGGATGAAAATATATATTACTGTATCCTGGAGTTTCGCAAAGGGAGGGAAACGAATATTAGAGGGTACTCCCAACAAAAAAACGTAAGGAAGGAGGCGCTCAGATTCTAGGGACACAAAAGCTCTACCCACACAACACTATTGCATTGTCCTCCCCTCCCCCAACAGAAAATAAAATGGTGCAATGTGCTCAAAGGAGTGCCACCGACCTAAACAAACAGCCTTTTTGGAGGGATCCAAGACAAGGGAATTGCATGAGAATGGAGATCTCCAAATGTGCTATTATGTTAATGTCAGATACCAATTAATTGCACCAACCTAACCACCCCCACCAGCAAGCTAAATTCTAGTTTACACATATAAAAAGGTGAATTTCTCTCAGTGCAGACATCAGCATGGGCCCTACTTCACTCCTACTTAGGTCACGTGCTGGCCCCCAGAACTCAGGGTGGCAGGGCATGGAAGTCACCCAGACTACCTCTCAATTCAAAGCAACAGAGTGGCGTTATTTTTAGCCAGTACACGGAGCCATAGCTTCAGAATAAAAGGCTAATTTCTTCTCTTAAGACCCTTTCAAGACTTCTGATAGGTCAAGTCAAAACAACAAACAAAGCACTGCTTTTATTTATTTGGCCACAAGCTAGCTTTCATCAGCTTCCCAAGTGGCATCAGCTTATTTCAGTTGTCTTTATCCCAATAACCATAGGGTGGGGATAGGGACATGTGCTTGGATGATGATAAAGTTAAGTTTCCACGGAGAAGTTCCCAGCCAATACCCTGAAGTCTAGTCTCTCCTCCTTGCTTGCTTGGGGAATATATTACAGATGGGGCGGTAGCATGCCTCATGCAGAGAGTGAGCGCGCCTATAAATGCAAGCCAAGAGCTATGTGACCACCGCAGTACAAGAGCAAGACTCTAAAGGAGAGATTGCAGGCTTCAGCTCCTGTTTGTGATGTTGTAAGGGAGGGGCCATTCAAAACTGAATTCTTGGCTGCTAAAGAGATATCGTGGACTGGAAACCTGCCCTAGTTAAGAAAAATGAACCAGATGGACAGAAAATAGGTATCACTTATTCAGGAGTGGAAAAATACTTGTTTTGATTAATAACTGAGATGGGTAGGAAACAGTCGCTTGGAATCTTTTCACAAACATTTATATCTACTGGGAGCAAATTGTTGTAGATATTTTGAAGTCATACCAGAAGACTGACTTTAGTGAGCTACTGGGTATATGCATGGATGTTTGAGATTACTGTTGATCAGCATTCTGCCTGCAGACTAATATAGCCGTTCCTCGGCTTCTAATAGTCCTATTAATGCTCAACTGGAACATGCAAAGGAATCTGTGTATGCATTCGGGGAGGCTAACCCCCACCTCTGCGCCTTATGCTCAAGACCCCATCCCTACCACCACTCCCTTGCCCATCAGGACAGCATTAGCTTAAATTTTTCCTTTTATGGCATCTTGGGAAGTTGCATTCTTTGGATTTCCCCACAATATTACATAGCTCTGATAAGGAAGATGCACAGTACTGCTCACAGTCGTGAGTTCATACAGTAAACTTTTAAACAAGTGTGGCTATTTACTGCCTTTTTAGTTGAACATTACATCTAGTCATTTAATCAAGCAAGTCTGGAATCCCTGCTCTTACTCCTCAGCTAGCAAGAAAACGCAATACAATTGTACTGGAAAGTCAGGTATTGAACCTGGATCGCATAGCACAGGGTTACAAGGGGGTGACTTAAGCATAGGAATGCTAAAAGAGACCCTGAGACATACTGCTTGTAGGAAAATCGTTTGATTTGATCTCTCTGCCTCAGCTTCCTACACTCACTGTAAAACCGAGTAACCTTCACCCTTCAACTTCACCCTTCCCTGAGAGATACTAGGTAAAACCTTTTGCAGATGAGAAGTGCTATCACCAAGTACACCTTACTGACCAGTTTATTTACATGAGCACTGTGCAACAGTCTCAGTGGGTAGTAAGTAAGGGCTAGTTTTTCTAGCTGCTTGTCTTTTAAAAAGGAAACTGATTTTAAAATGAAGAAGAGAATAAAATTCAGCACTGGTGTGAGAATTTTAACCCAAAACCCAGTGAAAACAAACATTCTAAAAATGAAGATTCTCTTGATTGGAAGTGAGAGAGACCAGCCCAAGGATGAGCAGACATTTGAGACCATGTCAGATTTTCAAAAGCACCTAAGGATAGGATAGGAACACAACTCCCATTGAAAGCAAAAAAGAAATTAGGCACTTTTGGGGAAGAAAAAAAAAAAAATCACCCATAGTGTGCATCTCCTTAGATGCCTGCATTCAAGCGAACAAGGAAGCCTGTTTCAGCTGACTAGAGTCCTTGGAGATTTAAAAGGACACTATAAAGAAAAATAACAAGAATAAGAACAGTTTTCAGTTAGGACATTGCTTCCAAAGCCCATCAGTTATTTGGCAAGAGGGGCACAAGGGATGGCTTTTAAACTTAAGTAAGAATTTCCTTAGAACATAAGAACGGCCATGGAATACTAGGATGGAAGGGACCTCGGGAGATCATCGAGTCCAGTCCCTTGCCCACATAGCAGGACCAAATACTGTCTAGACTATCCCCGATAGACATTTATCTAACCTACTCTTAAATATCTCCACAGATGTAGATTCCACAACCTCCCTGGGAAATTAATACATCTTGGTCAGACCAAAAATTCATCTAGCCCAGGATCCTATCTGCCGACAGTGGCCAGTGCCAGATGTCCCAGAGCGAGGGAACAGATAATCATCATGTCATCCCTCTCCTGTGATCCATTTCCAGACAGAGGCTAAGGACACCATTCCTACCCATCCTACCTAATGGCCATGGATGGACCTAACCTCCATGAATGTATCTAGCTCTTTTTCGAACCCTGTTATAATCCTAGTCTTCACAACATCCTCTGGCAGGGAGTTCCACAGGCTGACTGCACTGTGTGAAGAAAAACTTCTTTATGTTAGTTTTAAACCTGTTACCTTGCTTATTTCCTGTACATCCTTACACACAATCCTGAAATACGAGGAATTGTAATTAACATTAATTGCACTTTAACTCTGAGGCCTTTACTGGATCTTAAGGCATTTCAGCATGCAGTTGCTTGCTACTGCAGCACAAGTCATATTTGGAGTAAACTTCTAGGTTTCGCACACACATCTAGGTTTAAACACATCTGTCAAAATTCTAGGTTTAAAAACACATCATCTCCTCTGTCAACAGGTGTCTATAAATTTTGTTGCGTGCACAGAAGTATCAGAAAGCAGCACAGATTGTACATACAGGGTACGGCACGTTAAGAAAGCCATGAGAAAGAATAAGGTAGGGCTCATTAAGTTACACAAGTTGTGTCCAGCACTGAAGTTTATTGCCTCTGACAAACCAGGATTACAGCCAGTATTATTCTAGCAAATCCGTTCTATGCCCCAAAATCCTGCCAAACACTACAGTCAGCACTCAACACAAAGGAAAACAAAGTGTTCTGGAGAAACGTGCTACAGCTATGCTGCTGAGTACAGTACTGAAAAAGCCAGAGGGGACAAAACTGAGGG